TAGATTTGTATGGTTTGGGGTTCATATGGAATGAGTGTTGGGGTGACCATTATTTTTAGTAATGCAGGCGTGAAACCTTGATTCTCCTGTCTTAGTACTGCCACAAAGTATATTTCTCACTGAGACAACTTTTGGTAAAAATGACCTTCTCAGTTTTTCTCAGATTTCTTTAAACACCTTTATCTATAATTTTATTGACGCTGAAAATCCAAGATGTTTAATATTGATTTCTTCATTTCTGCCTTGCAGGAGAGGTTATGCATCCGAGGTAAGGGCTTTATGGTGTTATGTTATGTCAAGCTTACTAGGAAAATATTTGCATTATAGGCAGGACTGATTTACATTTTTTCAAAACTAAGGTATTTTCCTTTATTTCAAAAGATCTTATACGTGTGCTATGCTATTTATTTTCTTTCCTATTTCTTGCTTCTTTGTTTGGGGGTGTGAAGTCTGTTATGCAACAGGTGAACAAAGGATCTACCTTTTCAAGGATAAACTTATTTTTCCTGAATTACTGTTACTCAATGTTGTGACATTCTCCCAAATTTATTTTTCTAAGGCTATAAACCCAATTTAGAAACTGTAAGATTACTTAACTTTTATACTTTTTTATCAGTCCAGGGATCTTACCTCATATTAGAGCTTAAGACAACATTAAAGAGTTAAAAAAAAAGTTGGACCACTAGAAAGCTTTGGTTTTTTTATTGTGTTAATTTGACTTTCAGTCAACATATTGGGCATCCCGGCCAACATATTGGGCTAGCCATATTGTAAGTGGTGTCATCCATGAAGTCGCTGAGAAGCTAGTACAGTTTAGCATACAGCTTCTCAGTCAAGAGAATGAAATAAGAATATGACCTAATTGGCTGATAGTTTACAACGCGTTAAGTCCCAAATTATTTGGAAATCAAGATGAATGCCTTTAAAAATAACTGGTTTTCAGCAGTAATTATAATAGCTAACAGAGTGAATCAGAATATCTCTAACTTCAACTTTCCCCCCCTTCAAATGAATACCTTAACTAGATTAACTTATTAACAGCTGTGTCATGGAAAATCTATCCCTTTGGTCAAATAGTTGTTCTGCTGGCCATTTCAAACAGTTGGTTCATTGGTGGGATTATCTTCTAGAACTTCTCTGTCAACCTTCCCAATGCTTACTTTTTCATTTGTGTTATGTAACTACTTGCCCCCCAAAGAGTTGATAACCTAAAATTTGAGTTGTGTATCTTGTTTCCATCTGGTTAAAATAACTTATCATGAAAGAGACCAATAGAGACTGTTTCCTGAAGATAAATATGGGTGAAGTGGGCACTGATGCCTGTAAAATCTGAGGAAGAACAATTTCCTTAAATACAAAAAAAGTTTCTGAAAACACGCTTAATTCTTTAGTGCAAGCAATCCACATTTTGATAAAAAGAAAAATGAGGAGGAAGTCTTAAATATGACGAATATGTTACAACTGTATCATTATTTTGTGCGCTCACCCCTTCTTCCTAACGAACCTGATTACATTTGATGTGATTGGGGAGAAAAAAAGAGGGATAATATAAAACAAGGTTAAACTTGTTATAGAGAATTGTGTGACACTTACGGTGCTTTTAGAACCATAAATGACTCTTTGCATTATGAAGCTTAATCCAAAAAATTATTTATAGATTTTTATTTATTAAGGTTAACTTTGATGTTAATTAAAACAATGATGCAATTAAAACAGATTAATTCTTTAATATTTTAGGTTTCAATGTAAATAATTAGTCAAAATATTATTTAAAGCTGTAGGTAGCTATCACATGAATAATAAGTCATAATCTCAAAGTAACCAGTTTTAACCAGTCGCCTTTTTTTCTCTCTTTTCAATCATGATCTACTTTTTTCCACCTGAATTATTTTCTAAATCTTTTTCTATTTTAATTTCCTTTGGCAGCAACAACAACTACTGAGACCTTCTCTTCTTAAACCAGAGGTATCAATTTCCTTTCTCTTTTTAACCTGAGTCTTCACAATAACTCGTGTGACTTTAAAGTTCATCTTACGTGTAGCAGAGTGGGTGGCGGCCAACATGGCATAATTTTACGAGAGAGAAAAGGGATTTTAAACTAAACTAAATAAATAAACAGGCATGCAAATCTCTTCCCTACTGTTTGCTGGTGGCTAAAATTCCAAATTTTTAGCTTCACTCTCTGGGAATGAGACAAATAAGAACTTTGCTCCTGTTAAAAATAGGATATCCTTGAATAAATCAGTCCGTGAACCTGATCAGTCACTTGTCTTAATGAACCTAGATTCATCAGAACTGTTCCTGAGATCAGATTTAGATTAGGAAAAGTTTGAAGAAAGGATGCTGACATCAGTGCTCAAATAACAAAAAGTAGAAATTGGGCTATTTAATCATTTCATGTGATTCAAAATACTGGCTTTGGGCATGTGTCTATTTCAAATGTCCATGACATTTTCTTCTGCAATGAGAAAAAGATATTCAGAGTTATATAATGACTGCATTTCATTTGCACTTATCATGTTTATATACTGCCTAAATTTAAAAATTTAAAAAGTAATGTTAACTTTAAATGTCTTTTTCCTTTGACAAATTTATTATTTTACAAGCTCCACTTACAAAAAATTATTCCTCTTTCTTAACCACAGAATCTTAACTTTGCTAAAGAGAGGCATTTTGTGGTTAGAATTTATTTCCTAAAATCTGGAGGTTGAGTGGCAGGAATATTCAACTTTTGTAAATTTTTAGCAAAAATTTCCATGGAGACATCTCCATAGACTATTGAATCAGATAACTCAAAAGTCCAAATGCCAATTCCTAGATGCAAACCCTTAGTCAAAACACGCAGCCTGCTGAGCATCAATTTCATCCTCTGTAGAATGTTGGCAGTAATATTAAACCTATCAGCTCCTAGCTCAGCAAGTGGAATGTAATAAAAAGAAATTAGGTAAATGGTAGTCATTGTTGGTTTGGTTTGCATCAATATAAATATTTATGCTTTGGTCAATAAGATACTAAATTAATTCTATGTCTTCTCTGTGTGGTTGGGGACAATGGATTTTGAAAATAACATTAAATGTTTGATCTGCCCATAAAATCACTTTTTAGGATGTTACTTAGCATGATTTTCTAAATCTAGGATTCACCTGCTAAGGGCAACAAGGGACTGCCTGGGGCAGCAAAAAGGGCCAGCTGGCCCATACTATCCGTTCAGGCCGACTCAGGGATCTTAACGGTTATCACATCCTTCCTCAAAAACAATTTTTTTTTTTTTTTTCCTGAAAGGATGATTCCCTGCCCTTCAGTAGTGGGTGGTATGAGAATCCAAGTGGGACCCTTCAGATTATTCCCTTCTACTAGCTCCTACCTCTCCCTGCCCAACTCAGACCGCAACGTGACTGACTGAGTTAAGCATCAAGTTTACTGGTTCCTTTCCAGTTGCTTCTATCCTTTTCTTATGATTTTTAAGTCATCTAATGCCAGATACATATTGTAGTTCACAAGAGCTGAACTTTGTCCTGCCTTTATGAAAAAAGAATATGTCTATAAAGAAAATTATTTGATTCTAACTTTTAAACTCTGAAATCCACTAGGTTGCATTGTGTTTCCATAAATATTCGTTTTTTATTATTGCTAAAAGTTATTAGAATTCAATTTCAAAACCATTTTTGTTTTTAATTGTTGTGAGAACATATAACTTGAAATCTTTCCTCTTAACAAATTTTTAAGTGTGTAGTACAGTATTGTGAACTCTAAGCACAATGCTGCACAGCAGGTCTCTAGAAATTTTTCATCTTGCTTCCCCCTCTCTCCATCTCCTGGCAACCATCATTCTACTTTCTGCTTCTATGGGATTGATTATTTTAGATGCTTCGTGTAAGTAGAATCATGCAACATGATATGTCCTTCTGTGGCTGGCTTATTTCACTTAGCATAATCTTCTCAAGGTTCATCCATGTTGTGGCATATGGCAGGACTTCTTTCTTGTTTAAGGCTGTATAATATTCCATTGTATGTATGTACCACATTTTCTTTATCCATTCTTCTGTTGATGGACATTTACATTTCAACTTCAAAATCATTTGGCAGCCTTTTCTCAGTCCCTGTATGCATTAGATTAAACATGCATTGGCCAAGCAGTTTAAAAGTATTGGTTCTGAGATCTATTTGCTTCATTTAAACCAGTATAATTACATTAAGGTATTTAGTTTGAATAACTTAAATTTAGACTTTATCTTTGTCCCAATTTCTTATTGGTCTCTTGACCTCAGTTCCCACCCCCTTTCCTATAATAAACATTTTTTGTTGAAATAAAACTACAGACATTAATGTGTATAAATCATTCTGTGCAGCTGGGTGAATTTTTAAAGGGCACTTGCCTTGCTAGCTCTCCAGAAGCCCTTCACGTCAACACTCAGATATTATTTCTCCTTTTCCTAACCACTCACGTGTCTTCCTTTTTTCCCCCCAGATACATATTTAATGCAATATATATATATTTTTCAATTTCAGCTTTATTGAGGTATAATTAATAAATAAAATTGTAAGATATTTAAAGTGTGCATTGTGGCAAGTTTGATAGACATATACATTGTGAAAGATTCCCCTCGTCTAATTAGAACACCTATCACCTCACATATTCATGTTTTTTTGGTGAAAACATTTAAGTTTTACTTTCTTAGGAGATTTCAACTATATAATACTGTGTTATTAACTGTAGTCACCATGTTATACATTAGATCCTCAGGCCTTACTCATCTTATAGCTAAAGTTTTTACCCTTTTTCTGACCTCTCCCTATTTCTCCCAGCCCCTGAAAACCATTTTTATCTACTCTGTGTTTCTATGTTTGACTTTTTATTTTTATATTTTTTCGATTCCATTGTAAGTGATACCATGCAGTATTTGTCTTTCTCCGTCTGACTTGTTTCGCTTAGCGTAATACCTTCAAGTTCCAACCATGCTGTCACAAATGACAGGACTGCTTCTTTCTAAATTTAGGCATTTGTTGCACAGTGGCAATATTGGAGCCAATGAGGTTTATCCAAGGCACAATTATTGTGAACTGAAAACTTTAAACCTGGATTCTAACACACATATTAGTTTGTGTGTTTTTGAAGTTTGTATAAATAGAATAATATAGAATCAGATGTTTCATTTGTCCCTGACTTTTTTTGCTCATCTTTCTGTTTGACAGATTCATTTCTGTTGTTGTATGATGTAGTAGTGTGTTTATCTCAGGGACTTTTCCTTGGTTCCAGTTTTTGGCTACAAATGATGTACACAATTTGGTGCACAATTGTGCACATTTATGTTGGGCATATAAACTCCACTGTATTGAATTTCTGTGAAAGGATATGTATATATTTGACTTTAGTATTACTGCCAAAAATTTTCCAACGAGTTTGCTGATTTATAATCTCTCCAGAAGTGTGTGAGAGTTCCAGTGGCTCCATGTCCCTGCCAAAGCATGCCAAACTGCAAGGTCATCAGATAGTGCGTTAGCAGAGTAGAGGGATTGCAAATTTAAAGAAATATCGAGGGAAGTCATGTAAATGAATAGAGTTTATTAGATGTAAAAAAAGAGCAGATGGGAGATGCTATGATGACTATGAGAATAGATGGAAAACAACGTGGTTGAGGACACAGTAATACCCAGGAGAAAATATGATTACTCTGAGGAGTAGTACCACCAACTAAGTTCATGACATGGAAAAATACGAGATGAGTCTTGCTATCTTTTTATTTTTCAAATCAAAATCCAGACTTTTGATAACATTTTCTGACTAGGATTTTGGCAACTATGGTAATTCAAGTTTTTTAAAATGATTTTTGCCAGTCAAAGCACAAGTGAGGGTCTTTGTCCTTATCTGCCATGCAGACTGTGAACTTGCACACTTTTTAAATGATACATTTGAGCCCCCTAAGGACATTGTTTTTCTGACTCGTTACTGTACCTGGATCAACAAAACTAATTCTTATAAATAATAGATGATCTTAGAAATAGATAACCATTTTCCTGTGGATATCTATATTTTTCCTCCTTCCCTTTTCTTACTTCAAGCCAAATTAATTTGGTTAACCTTTGCAGTTCAGCCTACTTAAATGTTAAAATAAAATTAAAAAGAGAAAAATAATGAAATTAAATTTAATAGTTATTTAAAAACCAGTTTCCTATGTATGCTTAAGGAAAAACATCCTTCTATGAGTAGAATGACAAAAATCACTATTGTCTAGAATTTAGAACTGTAAACCTTGAAAGCACCCCTGTTCTGACAAATTTCTTTTTAAAAAAAAAAAAAATTAAATCGAGAATTAGCAGTATGTTTAAAATGTAAACATCCTTGGGATATATCACATAACATAACATAATTTTTATTAGGATAAATGATTGTTATCAGATCCTTTCATAAGAGTAGTTTTGATGAACAGAAGTGCTCTGGGTATTAGAAAACTGTTTTTCAGGAAGATGAAACAAGGTTGAAAGTAATGTTATAATTTTAGCCTCAGGGCTAAAGTCTGTTAATAGTATGCTAGAATAGAGTGAAATATTAACTGCCTATTGATAGTTTTAAAAGTTATCCGAGAACAAGTAATATGCTCATCTGTAATCTTTAACAGATTTACCATTAGAAAAAATTTACTTTTGCGACTCCCTCAGTTCTAATAATGTAAATTTATTTCTTGCAAAATAGTTACAGCCAAAAAAAAAAAAATTTGAATATGTTCAGCTAACATTTGTAATTAAAGTTATTTTGGCAGGAGTGTCTTGAGAGTCATCGAATTCTAGGTCTGGAAATCTGACTTTGAGCTGAAATGTGATAAGAATTTCTTTCAAATGCGGTTTCTCTTTTTGAACAATAGGAGTTATCCATGGAGTCTGGAATTGATCCTGGCCAGGAATATGGACAAGATTATTACAGTTATGAGCATGGGTACATCTTTAGATTTTTTATTCAGTATCTTGATATTTTAATGAAATAAAGAGTTATTAAATGATATTATTACTAGCATTTGTTTTATAAATGTCATTTCATCAGTTTCATCTTTGAAAATGAATTATGTACCTAATTTCAGTGTCAATCAAGTTTTAACCATTTTTCTATATTGAGTTCTACTTTGATGTTCTATATTGATATTGACTACAATTCTAAAAATGCAGTAAAAATTACTCAAAATTATTTAAATGAGAAACAAGAGTCAAACATATTTGCTCAATTCCTGAATTCGCCATTTCTTTCACATGAGATGTTCAACATTTTATCTAACCAGTCAGCCTTCTGATTTACCCAAGAGAAATTAAGAAAATATACTTTAGAATCCAGTAATAAGCATTTCAAAAGTCACTTCTACACACATAAGTTAACTGCTTTCTAAAAATACAGTAGAGGAATGTAAGAGCATTACAGATCATATTCAAAGCAGGTCTTTCCTATAAAGATAGAGACTTTATGTTCTGAATAAGCTATTAAAATTTTAGAAAGAACCTATTTTGTACTCTAAATTCTTCAATTAAGTAACAATATGCCTTTCTTTTCACTCTAGTCTCTCCAAAAACTTAAATCTGTAATAACTGGACTCTTTTTATTGTTATTCCAGGGTACCATTATGGCAAAAATCATTGGTCATCAGGTTGTAGCTCTTACCCTGTGGTTTTGTAGCTAGTTTACAGGGAGCCCAATAGGTGCTGTATAAATATCTGTTGATTGAATGATGAAGAAAAAGAAGAAAACAGAAATCAGTCGTGGTTACAAGGACCACACGAAAGAGTTTTTACAGTTGTAAGTTTCTGTTACAGGTATGAAATGCCTCAGTATGGAAGTCGCCGTCGTCTGTTACCACCAGCTGGACACGAGGAATATGGTGAGGTGCTTGGTGAAGCTGAGGAGGAATATGAAGAGGAAGAGGTAATTACTGTAATTTTCTTATGTAAGCTGAGTATTCCAAGAATATAATTTTTTAGCCCTATTTGAATAGAAGGCTACAAAATACTTCAAAAAACAGAAATCTTATTCACTTAGAATTTATTTCCCATAGAAATTTGATAATGTAGACCATTTTATTGCCTTGTCTATAGAAGAAAATTAACTTTTATATAATTTTAATTTATTTTCTTCTATAAAATGTCAAACACCTGCAATAAAGCCACAATAAAATTGATATTTTTAAAAATCCTACATTTTACTCCATAAAGATAATAATATAATCAAAAATATTAAAAAGTATTTTGGAAAACAACAGTTACTTTTGTTTCCATATTGTCTAGCATACCTAAAACTCGTGAAAAACTATAGTCTCCATCTTTCAATTATCTACAGAAAAATGAAATATTACCACTAATATTTTTAATGAAATTTTGTCATTTATGTTTAAATTAGCATGAGTCATTTATATCAAATTCTTTTACTTTGCCTGCAATATTTGCTTTGAACATTTATCCAAAAACAAAACTCAAGTAAATGTCACTGTAGCTTTACCCTGTTCAAAATTAAGAAAATAGTCAAATTTCACATAAGCTATTCAGATAAGCTATCATAATTCCCTGATTATTTAAAATATTGTTAAAAAAATACATAAAACTATTAATCAAAGTTGAGAAATGGGACTCAGAAAGGGAAGAAGTAGTGATTATTTCTTTCTCCTTTGATCTAAGATACAAAATAAATTTTGAATAAGAAAAATATGAGAAAGCATTGGGTTTTGGTGTTATAAAGTACAAACCCAAATAAAATAATTCACTACCTTAATCACCTTCTGTCTGTATGTTAGACCACTGCTCTAAACAGCAGAGAACAGATGGGTTCTCTGAAACTGGTCATATAACTTGCATGAAGCTGTGATCCCACAGTTTCATTCATGCTTAACTTATGTGGGACAAGGTCACATCATAACCATCTCCCAGCTGACACTTCAATTGCATTTTCATGATTTTCAGGAAAAGGCAAAGAAAATTAAAAAACCAAAAGTTGAAATTAGAGAGCCTAGTGAGGAGGAAGAAGTAGTTGTCACTATTGAAAAGCCACCAGCAGCCGAGCCTACGTACACAACATGGAAGAGAGCCAGAATATTCCCCATGATTTTTAAGAAAGTTAGAGGCCTAGCTGATAGAAGAGGCGTCATTGACCTTGAGGGGGAAGAGTGGCAAAGACGCCTCGAGGAAGAAGATAAAGATTATTTGAAACTAACTCTGGACCAAGATGAAGCTACAGAAAGCACTGTGGAATCAGAGGAGGAATCCTCAAGCGACTATACTGAATACAGTGAAGAAGAATCTGAGTTCAGCGAGTCTGAGACGACGGAAGAGGAGTCTGAGTCAGAGACACCCTCTGAGGAGGAAGAAAGTTCTACCCCTGAATCGGAAGAATCTGAATCCACAGAGTCAGAAGGAGAAAAGGCAAGGAAAAACATTTTTCTTGCAAGAAGAAGGCCCGTCGCTGAAGAGGTCAAAGAAGTCAAAGGGAGAAAAGAAGAGCCACCTGAAGAACCAGAAGAAGAACCGCAGGTGGATGAAGAAGAAGAACACCCAGCAGAAGGAGAGGCAAGTGAGCTGGCTCCCGTGGAAGAACCAAGAGACCTGGAATCTCAAGACATCACTGAGGAGGGCAGTGCAGAATCAGCTTCAGTGGAAAGGAGTGTAGAAAGTGAGGAAGAGTCAGAATCAGGCAGTAGTAGCAGTAGTAGTGAAAGTCAGTCTGGAGGTCCATGGGGCTTTCGGGTACCAGAGTATGACACAAGCAAGAATGCCAAGCACAAGAAGTCTCCAAGAGCAAGCTCGGAAGGTTACAACACAGCACTTTAAAAGAGATCACAGTAGGTGGGGGTTTTGCTGTGACGAGTGCTCCTGTGTGCAGTGCCTTCTGTGTGCTCTATGAAATGACACTTGAAGGGGAGGAAATTGATCCTGATTTTGATCTAAGATTAGGAGCATGCCAGAAAAGTGAATATATATGCTATCTAAATGAATTTGTATATTAGAATATGTTAGGGTAAAACTGACTAGTCTTTCCTATATTAGTAATTTAGAAGACATGCAATCAGTTAATCAATATTTAATATTTTCTGGTGGGATTTTTTAATGCAGTGTGGCATTATGTATTATCCATGATGCCCTGCCTATTAGAATAGACTATATGAATTTATAT